CGGGCTGCCCTCGGGCGTATGTTTACTGATATATTGGGCGGGCAGAGGCTGCGCGCCCCTTCCCTTCCTCTCCTGTCTCCGCCGGCTACTCCGCTGGAACCTTGGTTTCGTGAGTCTGGTTTTGTTATTAAACTTGTTCAAATACCTATTATCTTTGGTGATTATTAATCCGACCGCTGCATTTTTGGATTTCGGACCTTCCACTCTTGTAGCATGAGTTCCCCCCTTTATTCAATTATTAAATTATATCTGTTGTTCTTGAGCTGGTTTGGATATTTATTGTACCGACCGAATACGTCAACATTCACCAGCTGAGAATCATTGGGTATCAATAAAGTAGATCTCCCCTTAGAGATAGGACCTCTCCTGCAGATTTACCAGGAAGTTAAGGAGCTAGACACCTTTTGCATTAATTTTTCAAATCTTATAAAGTTGTTCACGTGGGGCTGGAGAAATGGCTCCCATCAGTAAAGTGTTCAAGCTCAAGGGCCTAAGTTTGATTCTCAGAACCCACGTAAAAAACCACCTTTCTAATGCCAGCACTGGAAAAACACAGAGAGCAGGATCCCCAGCTCAACAGCAGTCCACACAGACAGCAGGATCCCCGGCTGAATGGCAGTCCACACAGACAGCAGGATCCCCAGCTCAATGGGAGTCCACACAGACAGCAGGATCCCCAGCTCAATGGGAGTCCACACAGACAGCAGGATCCCCAGCTCAATGGGAGTCCACACAGACAGCAGGATCCCCAGCTCAATGGGAGTCCACACAGACAGCAGGATCCCCAGCTCAATGGGAGTCCACCCAGACAGCAGGATCCCCAGCTCAATGGGAGTCCACACAGACAGCAGGATCCCCAGCTCAATGGGAGTCCACACAGACAGCAGGATCCCCAGCTCAATGGCAGTCCACACAGACAACACAGACAGCAGGATCCCCAGCTCAATGGCAGTCCACACTGCCTGTTTAGTGGGCTCTGAACGAATGAGAGAACAAGGACGGCAGCTCCCAACGACTGACGCTAGCTGTTGTCCTTTGCCCTCCCACAGACCCAAAGGCAAGTGCACCTGCATACATATCTACAGAAAATATATTTTCAATGTTCTGATCTATTTGCGCGTATATAAATCTAGACATTTTCTCCTGAAATGATCAATAGTGCCTTCTACATGTTACTGTATTTATTGACGAACCGGAGGCTTTCTGAGGTCTCACCTGCATGGGATTGATCTTCACTGAGCGTTCAAAGCACTCCACACATTCCCGAAACTCCTTGTTCCGAAGGTGGAGGAGGGCTTTGGAGCGCTGGGCACGAGCACTTCGGTGTCGTGACAGCTCCCAGGCCTTGTCGTAGCAGGAGTGGTCTTGCAGGACATCTCCAAGCAAGCAGTATAAACTCGGTGTTTCCTTTTTCTCCAGTTCTCGCCTAAGGATTTCTTCTGCCTGGGAACAACAACAAAAACAGTAAAATCACTTAATTGTGACTGACTGCTATTTTTAATACACGCACAACTTTTATCCCATAGTCTGTGTATTTTCAGTTACTTGTCATTTTAAGGCTTGAGAGCACAGGCTGCCTGAGAAAGGACCAAGGGAAAGCAAGTGAAAAGGAACCAGGAGGGGCAGGGCCTGCTGTACGGCCCTGGGATCCCCCAGGAACTGGGGCGCTGCCTGCCTGTCAGGAGGGTCCACTTCAAGACGTTCCGTGCTTTGCTTGGCCCCACTGCTGCTGCTAGAGAAGGGTCTTTACCTCGCCTTGGCCCACAGCATTATTGGTTCGAAGTGTTCTCTATTTATGTTGTTGAAGAGCAGACACAGGGCAGTGCCAAAGGAGACAATGCCAAGTAGAAAGGACAGGGAACTGAGGTGGGAGTCGGGTTATAGAGGCAGAAGGGGGAGAGCAGGCATAGTCACTGGACCAGCCGCAGAGAGCTGTCAGTCCGTTAGACCCAAAAAGTCTCAGAGCTCTAATTGTAAGCGCCCAAGGCCTACACAAGAGCTGCAGAGCTGGGGGCCTGATCCTCAAGGCTTTACCTGGAGCCACAGCTCTAGCAGCTACAACTTGCTGTGGCTCACACCTGTCTACCTGACCACCGCTGACAAATGCTCAACAATACAACAGTTGCCAAAGACCGGCACTTAAGGAAGTTCTCCTTATTTACCCCAACCTCTGTCCAGGTGGAGCAAAAGGTACAGCCAGCCTGATTGGTAACATCAACACCAGGCAGGCACATGTGGTTCCAAACAGCCCATTGGCTTCAGAACTTAAGGACTGATGTTCATAATGCAAGGCCACCTGATCAAGTAAGCTAATTCTGTGCTTATTACGACTACGCATCCTCAAGTTACCTCACCCACGTCTGCCATCCTGTTGATTATCAGCAAACTGAAAGTCTGTATATTAGATTTAGTGTAAGTTAGACATATCTGTAATTACTAAATCATCTAATTTGTGGACTCTTAAATAAGGGATCCACTTCTGCAAGTGTCTTTAGATGTCGGCACTTTTGTATCTGTGATATAGTACAGGTAAATTATAGACTGTCCAGCCTTACTCCAGACATGGATTCAAAATTTATTAAAGTTTCCTAGGGAAAATAATTGTAAGTCCCTGAAAGCCAAAACAAACATGAAGTTTTTAACTCAACATTTTAGAATATAAGCCCTCTCTTCACAAATAATATAATGGTTATTAATGTATCTGATCAAAACTCTATGATCTATAAAAACAGACACTTAACTAAAACTTCAAGATAGTGGCCGTACCATCTTTGCTGAAATACACTTATAGTGTGGTTTAAAGCATTTCTCTTGACAAGATGGCATTTAAACTTTGTGCCACGCCATTCCAGAAATTCCAAAGCTGACTCACTTAAAATTCCTTTCTGTTCTACCCTGTTATAGCAGAGTCTGTGGTCTGCAATAAATATCAGTCACTCGGTATGGGTGTGATTGCAGGCACTGTCTCCCTGGAAATCTCTGTCCGCAGCTCATCTGTTGAGTTGGAAGATGCCATAACTGTGAAGTGTACAAACACTGGCAGTCCATGACACCAGTGAAGAAAGAATTCTTGGTGCCTCAGACTAAAGCACCGACAAGCACAGGGTTTAGTGTACTGAGTGACAGGACACTATAAAGGAGCACCAGCAAGAGGTAGGTCAGCTGCTTCCAAATTCACTAGACAGTGGATTCACTAGACAGTGTTTCCATCCTCAAGGTGGAGAACGAGGGACTTCCCGATGACCTCAGAGGGCTTGTTGTCCTTGTCACGTCAGACTGGTGCTTCTGACAGGACTGCTGACGCACAGATAGGGCAGACTGGGGCTCATTAGTTTTGTGTAAAAGTCAGAGCTAATCACATATGGTTCACTCTATTGCTTTTACTTTCTCAATGAACTTTTAGCTACACATCTTTTTATTATCATTATTATTATTATTATTATTATTATTATTATTATTCTTTAGCGAGTACTCTACGTGGGCTTAGGACTATGGCAAAGATAACACTTGAAGCTGGGAGCTTTTCCTGGATGCTGGGTTGGAGCCCTGTGCTGTTGTGGGAGCAGTCTCATTGTTCCTCCATTCATTCATGAGGAGAAACCACATAGAGAAGCCGCGAGATGAGGAAAAAACTGCAGCTGGCTTCAAGCTCTCCTAAGTATGCAGTACTTCTCATGGCATGAGCACCCAAAAACCCTGTGAAGCATCCTTCACCACCAGCTAATCCTAACTGCTGAGAAACACCAAAGCCCAGTCAAGTCCTCCCTAAACTCCTGCCCCACAGAAACACAGAGGAGACACAAAACGACTTAAGGGGAGACTTCAGTGGGTTTAAGACACTATGTTTTGGGTAAACTCATACATAGGCAGTAGGGAATGCAGGAGAGTGAGCTGAGCACCTGATACTCCATCATGGCCAGAAGCAGAGACCAATGATCATCAAAAGACTAGACTCAGGAACTTTTGGGTTAATCAAGGAACAGAAATTCTTCATTTTCATTTGAGTCCTATGCAGGCAGAAGCAACAGTCCTAACTGGTCAAGATTGATCCTACTTCACTTTAAGATACTATGACTGACACCTCCACCATCCTATCGGTCATGACCTCTAGACGTAGAAATTCACACTTAGAAGGCACTCTACGATTTTAATTTATGCAGAGAAAACTTTGGGATCAAAAAGATTCCAGAGCTGTGAAACCAGAGACAAATGGGATCATAATTGAAGTCAGGCTGAGCCCTAGAAGAGTTCTGACTCACAATGCTAACTCAAAGGGCTGGGGATGGTTCTGAATAATGTGCTCAACTACATGACTAAACTTGGTCTCAAATGAGGCCAGAAACTAAGCAAAGCTGAGATACCAGGAATTCCTCATGTAATGTGAAGGAAGGAATCCAACACTCAGAACAGAGATTTATTAATTTATCATTTGCAACCTGCTCACCCACCCCGCTGTCATCCAGGGCCTAGAGGTTGATCCCTTTATCTTGACTTTGAGAAACAGTGCACAGGGGAGAAGGAGCATACTTGCAAAGGCCTAACAACTGTGCCGTGAAATAGGGGAAATCTCAGGAGTACTTCTGCTGTCACGGGTTTCCAGATTACAGTGGAGATGATGAGACCCACAGGGGCAGAAACCTGCCAACTGCACTGCAAGCAAATAGGCATGGTGATTTGTGACAGACACAGCCAGCCAAAGTCACACTAGAGCAGTTGGCCAGCACGGATTGCAAGTGGTGGCTGACTAATCACAATCAAAGCAAACAGGCAGCCAGCGAAGGTCAACATTGCTCTATAGAACACTTTAAAAAGCATCTGAGTTTCTACTCAAGATGCCATCTCTCACCCAGCTCCTATCCCTAAATATCTTCAATTCTGTCTCTTAAACTCCATAAAAAAGGAAGATACTACTTAGAAAGGACCATGTGATAATGTACCAGGTGCATAGCAAAACTCTTTTCTTCTGTTAGCTGTAAAGAAGTAAACATACCCATTACTACGTATTTGTATCCTAGAAAAAGGGCAACATCTCCTCTTTCAGAATTAGTTTTCGGTTAGTAGAAATCTTTTGGAACTTAAAGAATTCGTAGGTGTCAGTCTGTTCCAGAGTAGCCTAGTAAGTATCTGAGCCCACGCCAGCAGAAGCCCACAGGGGTGTGACTGCAGTATAGAGAGCCAAGCAATGGTCCCGGCAGCCTGTATATCTACGGAAGCCACAGAGGGCTCTGTCTAAACTTCAAAAGTACTATACATGTAGGGTACAGTTCGCCCACTCATTTACACTGAGAATATGCTTGGGTCCTGGAAAACACCATGAATTATTGTAACTAATACAGGGGTTGTACTGCTTATAGCTACTGTCCAGAATATGATCTCTTTTCTGAATTCCTGGCCCTGAAAGACAGATATGGATAAAGAAAACATGTTTCTGCGTCTCCAGTAGCTACATACTGGCAGATCAGAGCACAGTGACAGCACACCGTACTAGCCTGCCTGAGGACTTGAACTTCATGTTTTGATTGTCTTATCAACCCATCAGACCACATCAGCCAATGGCCTTGATGATACTATACTGACAGAATTCAAGAAACCAAGATAAAAAATTGTGTCAATGTCAACCAAAAACCAACTGAAAATCAACTGTTTTACGCCATAGCATATAATGAAAAAACGTTCAGTTTATAAAAAAATTATCTTCATAATTTACCCTCAAGGAATTTACCTATTAACTAAAACAAGCAGTTACGGTTTTAATCTAAAATGTTACACACGAGCTCTTGTTTTTAACACTTGTCCCAGCTATAACCACTATTTTGGAACCTTTAGCAATCAGTCTGCTTCCTGGTGAGGGACTTCTGCCTCTGCCACCCCCACACGGCCCAGCTCCACTGTGCTCGTCATGTCCCACACTGCCAAGGTCTACTGTGCCCCCACCACTATGGCGGTCAGAATCCCTCTAAAACTAAATCAAAGTTAATTTTTCCTACCTCAAGTTCTTTCTGTTGGGTACTGTGTTCAGAACACCAGGTCATTAAGATACAAGGCTTGTGAAATAAAATGCTTAATCTTATAAGCTCCAAACTCCGATAAAGAAATAAATGGTTTGAAGTTTGCCTGTGTCAGAACTCTTCTTTAACTGTGTGAAATAATATACAAAGCATCTGCTGGTAGTTTGCTGTCTTCCAGATAATGAAACCCCCAAGTCAAAGGACTAAACCCTTACCTGGGCATTTATGTCCTGTCAATGTGCTTAACCTACTGGCAGTGAGATTCCCTAAAATCCCTTTGCTTCTGTTTCCATGTTGGAAGTGACTAGAGGGGAACCTGCTGGAACTAACTACAAGTAGAATGAAGCAACAGTTTTGCATGCCAACATGGTCATGGGCAAAAACAGTGCCAAGCTAGCCCTTGCCTTGTATGTGTGGCTGATCTTAGCTCTGAGC